GATCAAGATCTGGGATCCCAGAACGGGCAAACATGAGAGGACGCTGACAGGCCACACAGGCCCTATTACTTGTGTGGGCTTGAGTGATGAGAGGGTTGTTAGTGGTAGTGAGGATGGTACGGTGAGGGTGCATTGTTTCGTGGATGAGGGACGGGATTGTTGATGATTGAATGACTGCATAAACGGATATTATTGGGTGTATTCTTGTTGCGCCATTGTTGCGCAATTTTAGCGATTTTCTTCTTCTACTGGCCATGGGCAGGTTTAGGTCCCATGTAGGGTTATTGTGGTTTTGGGTATATTTTATCTTGTCATCATATCTCTTTGATGTCCAGATGGGCGTTTTAATAGATACCCTCCTTCTGTCTTTAGCGAGAATCAATCTCTGGTTGTCTTCAAGATGTGCAATGTTTGATGTGTCTTGGGTTAAATCTGCCCTATGTCGATGTATCTACGGATCAATCATCAGGGATCCTGGCGAGAAGCTGTGTATGGATGGCTTGGAACCATAGAGTACGGTCTGAAGCGATCGCCTAGAGGTCGTCATCACTTTCCGGTGCGTTGACACTCCCCACTTTGAAGAAATGCCTTTCAACTTGGCCGCTGGAAACTTCAGAGATAGCGAGTGACTCAGAACGTACGTTTTCCGAGTTCATCTTTCTCCGGCCATGAGCGCATGCCCTACTCTAAAATGCTCCCTGATCTCGCGTTGTGTCCATCACGAGATATCGACCTCTAATATGCAAACCTCGCTCACCATTCTAAGCTCAAGCTCTCAACCCAGCTGCCTTTCTTCTCGACTTTTTGCGCACTCACGACGTTCCCGTTGCCCAGATCTGCCCCGTAGAGATGTGCAAAGCAACCTCGTCCGACCTCTTCCCATTTGATTTCAGCCTTCTTGTCCGCATGAACCTGCCCGTCGCCATCGGTACCCGCGGCCAGCGCCTCGTACTTCATCTTCAGTAGCCACAGCTCCGAGACGTCGCTGAAGAACTTGTCGGCGGTGCCAGGGACTTGCTCTGACGTCGAGAGATGGATGTAACCGTCATTGCGGTCGAGATCTGAGAGCGGAAGACGCGCGGGGAGGGGTGATGGCGGGGCAGAAGGCAGGATCTTATATAAGCAGGTTGGGAGGGGCGAGGGCGCTGGCATTGTGGCGTCTATTTTCGGATTGCGAGAAAGTGGAAAACGCGGTATGCAATGTGCGGTGAGTGGTGGCCTGTGACGTTGCGGGAGAATGGATGGTAGTTTGGGCAGCAGGAACTAAAGAGCGTCACAAGTCGCGAGAAATGCATGTTATGCTCGTGATTGGCCGAGGCGAGATTACGTGAGACCATTTTTTTAGACAGCGTACCACTGTTCAAACATGCCCTTCTGAGCGCCACAAAAGCCAGCCTGGTTGTGGCACTTAGGCAACATGTCGCGTCCGTCTTTTCACCGTACACCTACCCATTCGCGACACATCACCAGGTTTTCCTGCATCTCCCCGCCGTCCGGTGCATTTACGTCATTCTGTTCGGGCAGCCTCGCACATTCGCAAGCTTTGGGTGCAGAAGGGCCACCGCAGAACACGTTGGCAACAAAGGACACCTACTCATGAGACCATAAACACTATCGGGCGCCTTTGGAGACTAGACACTATTTTTGCGCATTCCAACAACAAGATCCGGCAGTGACTACCATTCACATGCACCCACAGTAGTCATCAGGCCAGGTGTCGCACGGTTGGTAGGATGCCCCTATCAGCAACAACAGTCGCCCTATCTGCAAGCCAGCCCGACAAACATGGTCCAAACACGGCTCACCCAGGATGAGATGCGCAGTCTCTCAGAAGAGCACGGGAACGGCCGGACTCGCTGTTGTTTACAGGCGACTGCCGCGACCGCAACGGGGTCACAGGTCGCATTTGACTATCTCAATAAAGGAGCTGCGAACGTCATATTCAAGATTCGGCCAGAACTCAGTCCTAGCGCCAAACGGTTTCAGTTCGTCGATGTATCCCCCAAGGACAAGCTGTCCGGAGTAACCACACCAATAACCCACCAAAGCCTGATCGGTACAGTCCTCCGAGTACCAAGGGGCGGCCAAAAGCACCTTTCATCCCTAGAAATACTTGACGGGTTCGAGCATGCAATCCGCCCACTCTTCTTACCAGGTGCCCGTAACAAAACTCAACTGGACCGGGACCTTACCAAACACCTAATGGATCATGAGGGCGTGCTATTGTTCCCAGACGTCATGGATCACCTTTACACTCGAGTTGAAAAGCTTACATTTGCAAATACGCAGTCGCGACGAAAATGCTGGGGGATACTCCTACCCGACATGTCACCTATACCAGGGAAATCGATAACGCTAGAAGTGAAGCCAAAGTGGCTTGCACAATCTCCAAACGCACCGACTAAGGCAGTCCGCTGTCGCACCTGCGCAATGCAAGTAGCTGTGCCCAAGAAACGCGACAACTACATCTGTCCACTCCAGCTGCTCCATGGCAATTCCTCATCGCTCCAACCTTGGTCGCAGACAACAGTCATGCGACAATTCGAAGGAGGAAAACCACCAGCCCCAGTAGTCACATCAGCCATTGCAAAAGCTCTCCTAGACTACGTTACAGTAGGCGACGGTATTACTTTACTACAACACCTCCTCAATCTGCAAAGTTCCCTTGATCCTCGCGGCGTCCTTTGCCGACCCCAGGCGGACACTGGAACATTTGATGATAACCTCCGCCTTGCAATGACATTGAGAGACTGTTCAATGTTCATCAAGATCTCATACAACACATCTGGCGTCATTGCGATTGAGTCGAAACTAGGCGATCTCGACTTCAAGTCTGCCGAAAAGATTGTCGACTGGATGGACAAGGAGAAACAACTCTTAAAAGACAGCTCTTACACTAAGAGTGTAAAAGAAGGTCCAATATGTTGGCTCCAGCGGGTACAAGGGGTGAGTGATATTGTCCAGGTATGGAAGTAAGCGTTTGCGAAGGTTCTATTATGATACATGTTTTTATGTTTTTTTTTATCAAGTTTTATTCTGGGCTTGCAACGGATCGGGTTATTATATAGATTAAGATGGGCGCAAGCCTGAAGACTCATGTCTACAAAACTTAATGTATGTACTAGTCCAAAGGAAGACTCAAAAGAGCGAGGGAACTACGCAAATTCCATAGCACCAAGTGCGTCCACACACACACACACACATTCACTTCGCCATAGCAAGGCCACAGGGAAAAAGGGATTTCAACCTTAATCACAAGTTGCAATGTTCTATTCCATCTCGTAATATCTTATTTTCCAACATGTCCCCATTCACTCTCACTGTACACCTTACCAACCTCATACCATCCTACCTCTTCTTTCTCCAAACCACCCCAAACTCTCTTTGCCCACTCCGTCGACGTACTCTCCGCAATCTCCTTCCACGGCAATGCCTCACCACTAAATTCATGCAACGCCAAAAAGCGCGGCGCCTCCTCGGTCACATCACCAACCTGAAATTCGTTGATGACAGTTGCGTTGCTAAGTTTGAAGCGGCGTGAGCGCACAAAACCAGGTGCGCGTTCGAGCATGGGGATGTGTTCTTGACGGTACCAAGCATCGAAATCATCAGTGGAGGCTGCGTCTTTTGGAGGGTCTAGAGCGGCGGAGATGAGGAATTTGGGTGGGGATGAAGTGGAGCCCTGGACCACCTGTACTTCTTCGTAGAAGCGGATATCGAAGCGGGCGTTTTTGTACACATCTTCGATTAGATCTGCGCCTGGTGGTTTGATGCCTTTGAAACCTTGGCTATCTTTGTAGGATAGGTCTGGGAATTCGTAGAGTGTCTGTGGGGAGGGGTTGTGGTTAGACGGGATTTCCGGAAAAGGCGGCAGTGCAGTACAGAGGTTACGAACTGAGAAGATGAGCACTTACCAGCCATGGAGCTTCGTCACTATAGTAAGGACGTGAAAGCTTTTGCTGCAGAGCCGTATAGCGAGCAGCGGATGGTACACCGGGAAGGACAAGGACCTCTTTGGCATGCGTCTTTTCAGTCTTATGTCAGCTTCTTCACTCCTTTGCCGTGAGACTCTGCCAACCAAGAGAAGAATACATACATTCTCGTACCAATCACAAAACTTCTCGGCAGACAGTTTATCAGGATGCACGATACGCGAAGAAACCCACAGCACACCGCGTGACATGATTGCGACTATGAGGTTATTCAAACTTTGTGGTTCTTTGACTGTGCGAGCGAAGAAGTTATCAACAAGACGATGCTGTGATGATCACAATGTTTTGGCACGATGGTGATAAGCAAAGACGTCGGAGGTACTACTACACTGAGATCAGATCAACCCCGTCATGTGATGTTGGGGGAATAGGACCGACAACTAGTCATAGCCCTGGACACCAAGGAACACGTTATCCAACTAGGCCTCCGTAGTATTAGTAAAGACGGGTGGAGTTGTGGGTACCCATGTCCAGCATCGGCACCAGCGGTTAATTCAAGTCTCAGGGGAGGGCATCGGGTTGCGATTGAGAGAACTGGTCGTTGTGCCAAATCGAACTTCTATCCGATAGTAGAGAGAAATAAAACGATTACCAAACTCGCTAAATCGCATCCTCAGATTATAGTCTTCAACAATCGCACTACCTTGTTTGCCTCCAAACACATTTTGAGACTTGTTGCCTTTATGAATCCATGAGATCAATCACTGCGCGACTCTATTATGATACAAATGTACTCCTCTTTGACCTTGGAGAAGGGAGTAATAATCAATGTGATCGATCCATTGCCGCCGCCCGCGGCTCGGTCGAGGCACTTCCTGAGCTTCCCCAACCGTAATGTCGTATGCCACCGTTGACAAGTTTGATGACAAGGAGAACTGCAACGCAGTCGTCAGCGGAATGGGTCGTGCATTTGTAGCTCTACGGCTATGCAGTCGCTACGGCTTTCATGCTCATGTGTCCGAGAGTAGAGGCTCGACGTTGAGGTTTTGTTGCGGGCTACCGTCAAGCCTAGCTCTTCTCATATGCGCGCTGGACATCGAGCGACTGCTTTCCACCGTTTGCAGTCTGCCAGAAGTCAAGACTGGCAATGACATCGGTACCCAGTTCGTCTTCATAGGAGTATAGGATCTGGACATGGTCAACATTCTGTATAGATGTCATTTGATGCAGTTGACTTACTTCGCGTGTCGATGTGTGCAGCCATCTAATATTCTTGGCTGTGATGATGTGCACCAGACCTCCGCTCTCCATATGCCGTATCTCAATAAAACTAGGCTCAAAAGCAAGAATATAGGGATTGAAGATAGCGAAAGCTTGTGGAGTGCCCTCCCATGTAATCTTCCAGTCGGGTCTCGCTCGCCAGCCGTTGCGGTTGACGAAGAATGAGTAGTCCGTGTAGCATAAGAGAAACTCGCTTGCCATACGCTCGATGTGAATTGGTTTGATGTTTTCTTTCCGTACGACAAAGTCGAGCGAAGTATCTGCTTGGTCGAGAAGCGATTGCGTTTCGAGCGTCTCCAGACTGACGACTTCGAAACCGCGCGCGCAGCCAACGCAGAGTTTGGACCGCAGGAAATGTATCGACGTCGATTCGGTGGGGATGTAAAACTCTTTGTACGGCTTGAGCTGGTCTGCTCCGCTGGTGGAGAGCATCATCTTCGCGAATCCTGACTTTTTGTTCTTGTTGCCCATCTGCTCCTTCGGCTCGTACACCTTGATGGTCGTCGAGAGGGCGGACGTCTTGACTGCAGCGACCAACTGTTGCCCCAAGCAGATGCCGGCCTTGAAGAAGTTGGCGTGGCAAATCTTGCGTGGTCGTTTGACCATAGCCTGTGATTCGTCCGACTCCAGGGCCTCGGTTGAGTAAGAGTACAGCGTCTTGTCGGCCAAGACAAGCACGATTGCGTGTTGTTCGAGAACCTCGATTTGAGTTACGCCCTTGCAATCCAGTACACGCTTGGGCCGCATCGAAGCGTCCTTTGGCTTTCGTTCCACAACGTAAACACCAGCATCCGTACCAAGAGCCAGCTTGCGACCTCCGTCTGTTGAGCGTTAGTGTGAGACTTTTGAGTGCGACAGTTGAATACATACCCAGCGGAACAGCGCAAGTGACTCTGATGGTCGGAGAGAAGAAGCCCTCGTTGACGATCGTCTTGGTAAAGATGTTACTGCGCTCCCTCAGACTTCGCTGCTGCGTGTCGATGTGCTCCATCCACTTCTGTTGAGAGATTGGAGTGCTGGCAAATAGTGTCAACTCGTAACCGCCCTTTCCAAGGTGCTTGAAGGTGATGGGATATCCTTGCTGCTTTGGATCGTTGTTCTTTGGAGTGGCAGCTGCAATAGCCTTTCCGGCAATCAAGTTTGCCGATGGCCTTTTCGCAATGCCTAATTTGGGGTTGACTTCCTCCATTTGTGTGATGACCAACAATTCTAGCGGTATGGGCTTCTTGTAGACTTTCTGTTCTTCGCGCTTGTTCACGGTCTTTGCCCGGACCAGCAAGACCGCATGGTCAAACAAGTAACACGTGATGTCACCGGTTGTTTCTGTTGGAGTCTTCTTCAAAGTGCCTTTGAACACCAATTGTCGGTTCTCATCGGTCAGTTTCAAATCGACGAACTCTCCGGGCCTGAACTTGAGATCCTTGTTGAGCTGCATCAGGTTGAAATGGTTTTCTGCCTTTCCGGATTCCACGTTGACCTTTGATAGAGTCTCTTTGATGATCTTGATAACCTTGGGGATGTCTTCTTTGTCCGGATTATCATCGGCCGTGTACTTTGCAATGTTCTCCAGGAGCAACGGGTACCTGGCCAATCTCGTTGTTGGCTTGGTGAGATAGCCGTTCAGCTCGAGCTTTCGCGACTCCTTCATCCTCTCTACCTCATCGACGAACTTGGCGAATCCGGTGTTTGTACGTTTTTCATGCTCAAACTCGTACTTACCGAAGAGCTGGTTCGCGCCGTACTTGATGAAAGGCGCAAAGTGTGGCACATACTCGAGGAATATGTCTCCAACGTTTCGAACCACGGCCTCTTTTTGCTGGCGCCTTGTGAGCTGTTCGGCCATGCGAGAGTTGACCATGTAGACTTCTTGGCAATTTGAAAAGACTGTGCGGACAAACTTTTCGCGGCGATGCTCGGGGATAGGTGAAGTAGCGGGGTTACGGAGGGGCTTCATCCAGAAGTCTCGGAGATACTCCAGGTCTTTCACGAAGTCGCGCTCGGTATACATGAGCTCAGAAATGACTTCCTGCCGCTTTTGTTCCTTCTCCGATACACTGTCAGAGATCTCCTTGGGCACCGTGTTGATCCACAGTTTCTGCTCTTCATTGTCTTTATCCTCGTGCAAACTCGCCCTGGATTCCTCACGCTTGAGACCAGGCTGAATGCGCATGTTGAGGCGAGCCTGTTGTTCAAGGCGGCGTGGGCAAGCGATCGAGTAGCACAAGCGGTCGCGTGTACACGTGGGAGAGTAACATTCAGTTAGAAGAGTGAAGACGCCATTGATCTCAGACTTGTCCTCCACCATGGTCTCACGGAACTGGTATATCTCGTTGGTGGAATCTCGCAACCGGTGGGCGTATGTGACATCGTGAAAGAATTTTTGGGCGTCGAGTGAACGACCGAGGAGTAGTGCTAGATTACGATCCGTCGTCTTGATAATGAAGGAGATGAGATCGACTGCATCTGCACCCGTAAAGGCACTCTTGTACACAAGCCCGTCCTTTTCTTTCTCTGTCAGGCCAACTCGGTCCTGGAAAGTTTCGGCGACTCTTGATAGCAAGGCGGGATAGACGAGAGGAGCGCGCCGTTGAGCAGCAGGAACTTGGTTAGCTGTTGAGAGCGATGTCATGGACTGGTTGGAGGTTCTGTTGTTGCTGGCGTTGCTACCCAGAGTCTGGGTGGAATCAGGACGCGACGTCATGGAAGACATGGTGCTTGTCCGCTCTGACGGGGGCACAATGGTCGAGGCCATGGACATGGTGCGGGACTGGTTCGGCATGTTACCTTGGCTGATGCTTCTGGGATTTGGCGGGAGTCCAGCGTTCATGTGGGATTGTGGGTGTCCGGGCGGTCCCGGTGCCATTTCAGAGCCGCCGGATTCTCGCCTCCGATTCGGTATAATCCTGCCGCTCATCGTCTGTGTGTGCTCTGGGACTTGGGTGTACGAAGTCATGGACATTGTGCGCTCGTCGGGACGTTCTGGCACCACACGTCCCTGGGCCGTGGTGCGTGCCATGTGATTCATGTATGGTTGTTGGCGGAAGGTGTTGGCTTGCGAGGGGTGCGAAGGGCCGCCAGGAGTAAACTGCGGGCGCGGGTTCAGGGCAAGCGACTGCGAGCGATACGGATCAGAGTTCATGGCAGGGCCCGGGGGCCCGGGAAAGCGGTTGGGTATAGGCTTGGTGAAGGGGGGCTGCCCCGGAGGGGAGGTTCTTGGGTCGAATCGCTGGGGCTGGCCGTATGGCTGACGCTCTGGGCGAAGCGGCTGGGGGAGGTACTGGGGCTGCGGCTGGCGTTGAGGCTGCGGTGGTCCCTGGTGGTATCGTGGGTCTTGGCCGTAGCCGTTCGGCATGGGGCGATTGTACTGATTCTGAGGGTCCATGGGCCGCTGCTCTCCGGGGCTGGGGCCCTGACGCTGATCGTACTGAGGGTGAGGGCGACGATCATAGCCATTGACTGGCTGGCGCAAGGGCGGGGCGCGCTGCATCATATCGGCGGTCTGGCTGGACATTGTGGCAGCTCTATCGGGCATGCGCATATGAGACTGCGAGGTCATGGTCTGCGAGCGGCCGGCCATTTGGGGACTGGCGCCGAAGATGTTGGTGAAGGCGGTTTCCCGTGCGCCCGTAGGCTGTCCATGGCTGGGGCCGCGCGCATATTCTGGACGTTGCTGGTTCCCGTAGTCGGCCATGTCTCTTCACGCAGTCTTGCCCGGGTCGGGCCTGTGTGCCGCGGGGGGTTGTGTGGGTGAGAACAAGGGCGACTCGGACAGGTGGGGTGAAAGCCGCCCAGCGAGGACCCAGGGCCGTCCGGAATAAAGATGGTGGTTATGGTGGGTTGGGTGCGGAATGAGGGCGAGTATGGGGTAGTCGTATCCATGCATCGTGTGTATGAGAAGCGCTGGCCAGGTGCTGCCCCAAACCGGTTTAGCGCCCTTTCTCCTACGAACGCCCAGCGCAACGACTATCAATCATTCAACGCATCCCCCATCACGCGCCGCTGCCGACTTCCCAACTACTACACCCCGCCGAATACCTGCGTCCACACCGAGCAGGCACCATGTCGTCAAACGAGCTCGCGCCTAGCTTCGCGCCATTCTTTGGCATGGTGAGTGCTTCGCCTTCGCCGTGTTGATGACTTCATAGCTAACCTCCAACCAGAGCGGAATCGCGTTTGCTGTGAGTGGCACTGCTCCCACATAGCTGTCGAACTAATATACGAACCCTGGCCAGATGATCTTTGGATGTACCACGCCCGACACACCCACCTGGACGTGCATGAGCTAACGGCAGCAGGCGCGGGAGCTGCCTATGGCACAGCCAAAGCAGGCATCGGCATCGCGGGTATCGGAACATACAGGCCAGACCTGATTATGAAGGTACGAGTTGAGTACCTAGCATACCTCGGAGCTCTGTCTAACCAGACCAGTCGCTCATCCCCATCGTCATGTCCGGTATCTTGGCCGTCTATGCCCTCGTCATATCCGTCCTCATCGCCAGCGACATTAAGCCGCCGCCAGACAACACATACTCGCTGTATGCTGGATTCATGCACATGGCTGCTGGCTTGTCAGTCGGATTGTCAGGTTTGGCTGCAGGCTACGCGATTGGAATCGTGGGAGACGCTGGCGTGCGCTCTTTCATGCGCCAATCGAGGATCTTCGTCGGCATGGTCCTCATCCTCATTTTCGCTGAAGTTCTGGGTCTCTATGGGTACGTCGACGCGACTGACAACGGCTGGCCAACGACTAACATTACCAGACTCATTGTCGCTCTTATCCTTAACACCCGCGCAAGTGGTTGAGCATAGTCCTGTGAGAAGCACTTAACTTTATGTTATGGCGAACAAGCGAACAAGGCGGACACGGAGATGGATTTTGTACGACTACATGGTGTAGAAACAGTTGACGAGCATGCAAGCATGGAGTTGCAATATTTGGGTTTGCAATACACTGGAGTTTGGGCCAATCTAGTACAATCGAACAACATGTTATTCCCGTATTGAATCGAAAGTGACAGACAAGATGGCAGAATGCTGGCGAGTAGACTGGACTTGCGTTGATGTTGTCGGATACCAAGACTGTCGTTTAAGCTGCAACCAGCTGGGTGGATCGTTATATCCGTTAATGCGTTGTCTAACGCCCGAGTTTGAACTTGATTAGCCGTGTCCGGGTTCGATACAGCCTTCGCGACGCATGTTCACGCGTTAATACAGAAATGATTGTCTACTTGCAGAATACAAGCTGGGTAAGCCTAAACGAGCTCGTCGAGAAGTGGCGTGCCGTCTCATCTGGCTTAAGTCGGCTCTATTTCAAGCCCAATCCCACGTCCTGCGTCATTGCAGTGAGTACCACCCCGCAGCACTTGTCGCGCCCGCTTATAGTCCCCTTGGCCGTGGTTCTCGAGTGCTACGAGCCCGGCTCTTCCGCCTGGTTGACTTCCACGATACATTTGCTTACTACACAAACAAAGCCGAAGATTGACCCCGCCGTTGCCTGTGCCTGCTGCCATGTGTTGCTTGAATTACTGATTCCTGGATGAGCCCTGACAGCACTGCAACCCTCGATCGCACCCACTACTCGCACCACCCCCTCGCTGCTGCCGCTGCCGCTGCCGCTGTCGCATAACCCGCCACCATGACGACTACCTTCAAGAGCATGCTGCACCCCATGCAGCACCACCGGGACAAGAAGGAGGCCTCCTCGCCGTCGCATTCTGGCCCGCTACACGACCGCACCGATTCCGCCATGGACAGGCCGCGCGAGGAAGAGAAGCAGCATCTGGCGCAATGGGAGGCGCAAAAGCACACACTCAGCCCCGACGAGATTGACATCGATCCGGAAAAGAAGCCTGTTGGCCACTCCTCCAAGGTTCTGCGCCAGGAAGACTTTGAGCTGATTAAGACGCTGGGCACGGGTGCGCATACGACTCCACGCCGCCAGACACAGACTGGACGCTGACTATACGTCAGGTACATTTGCGCGCGTGTGGCTGGTGCGATTGAAGGACGCAAAGGCGGGCGACGAGAACAAAGTCTTTGCCTTGAAGATCCTGCGCAAAGTCGATGGTACGTCTCGCTCGATGCGCCCTGAACGCACTCTCTTGGTATGCGCCTTTGCAGCTACTGACCCTCCCAGTCATCCGTCTCAAGCAAGTTGAGCATGTTCGGAACGAGCGCAATGTCCTTGCCAAGGTTGCTGGCCACCCTTTTATAACTACCATGGTCGCAAGCTTCCAATCGCTCGACTCCCTCTACATGGTGGTACGTAGCGACATGTCTTCATAAGCGCTGGTCATTGGCTGACGTGACGGATAGCTCGACTACTGCCCCGGCGGCGAAGTCTTCAGCTATCTGCGCAGAGCACGGCGATTCAACGAACCCACCTCACAGTTCTATGCTGCTGAGATTGTCCTAATATTAGAGTTCCTCCATGAGAGGGAAGGCGTTGCATATCGCGACCTAAAACCCGAAAACATACTCATAGACGCCGAAGGCCACCTCAAGCTGGTGGACTTTGGGTTTGCTAAGAAAGTAGAAAATAGAGAGACCTACACACTCTGCGGCACACCCGAGTATCTGGCACCCGAGGTCATTCGGAACACAGGCCACGGTACAGCAGTCGATTGGTGGGCATTTGGTATCCTTGTGTACGAGTTCCTCGTGGGACAACCGCCTTTCTGGGACCAAAACCCAATGAAGATCTATGAGCAGTACGCGGCTTTCAATTCATGTCCAAGACACGAGTGCTAACATATCCTAGGATCGTGGAAGGCCGTGTGCGCTTCCCTTCTGCCATGTCCCCCACTGCGCGCGACCTCATCTCTGGCCTTTGCACAGTCGACACATCCAAGCGACTGGGTAACGTTGCAGGCGGTGCTCAACGTGTAAAACAACACGAGTGGTTTAAGAACATTGACTGGGTGAAACTGTACAACCGCGAAGTCCAAGGACCTATTGTGCCACACCTAAGGGGACCCGCCGATACACGCAACTTCGATGAATACGAACCCGAGTCGGAGAAGAGAGACCCATATACCAAGGAGTTGAGCGACAAGTGGGAGGAGAGCTTCAAGGATTTCTAGGCCTCGCAAGAAGAGACTAGAAGATAGCAGATAGTCTTGGATATGACATGAAGGGCGAGATCAAGACAAAGGGAGGACGTTGGATGTGTGGCATGGAGTCCACAACGAAGCTTTGTAGATCAAAGGGGAAAGGGGCTTCATGCTTGATAGGGGTTGTTTTTCTTGCTATGACAAGTATCCCCATTGTTACGTTTCGACACGAAGCGCAAACAAATCATATGGAATGTGAAAGCATCCTGGATATGAGTGTCCCATGATCATTGCCATTGTCATCGTCTAGGTTCAACCACCCAAGACTTGTTATTGTTGATGTAAAACTGTATATCCAGTAGTGTAGTCTGGACAATGCCATCAATCTTTCGTCACGAGTTTGTACTGCAGTTGTCCTCTTTGCTCTGTCTGCTGCAATCTTCATGCACACGGAAGTATAGTCAGGATTAGCAGGCAAAAATTAAGACAAAAAACATACAACAGCGGGGATTCGCCAGTGGTCACCCACCTGACTACTAATCCGCCGATTACAAGCTTGAGTACCGCTGAGCGAACGGGAAGCGCTATGTTCTTGAATCTATGGTCGTATGTGGAGGACAAGCTCATATGGACGATACATGAAGCCGTAAGTGGAAGGGTGGATGCATGATTACTGCACGGTCAATGGAACAAAACTGCGACAGACGTTTCATGAGACTAGTATGGTGTCTCGGCCATTGGGATGGAGTCGAATTCAATTTCTCGAAGGCTGAGGTGTGACAAGCGCTTCTCGCGATGACTGTTGTGTTCCATGGCTGTGGTAACTTGTGGACCAGGATGCAATTTACACATGTCAACCAATGGGCAGGAAACGAGGCCTTATCAGCCACAGTGGCGCACGGGAGCCAAATGTGGTGTAGACTGTTGGTGATATCAAGTTTATCTCAACGGCCTGCATACATGTGGCGATGGATGCACGCGGGAGTCCCATGTGCGAATCGACGATGGGTGCGCGGGTGAGCCGGGCGCTATGTACAGTGGGCGTAGATTGAATAGGAGTCGGGAGGGTCCCAGTGGGCTTTGGCTCAAGATGAGTTGGCGAGGAACGTGCTGGGATAGTCCGTGAAGACAACTCCAGGCGTTCAGCTGTCAATAGTGAAGCGTCGAGTGACATTGGGCGAGCGACGTCTCTAGGATAACGCGTACGTAGGCAGACTGGGCACGCTTTAAGGTGGCAAGTTGGGCGGTGTCAACAGTGAGAGGGGTGAACGAACGCACCCCAAGGCCCAAGCGCGCTTTGAGATTAACATGGTAATACTTGTTTGCAAAGAAGCACAACACGACGCATTTCCTTTTCGTGTCTTGTAGTAATCGGATCGTGCCCCTTTCCTTCTTGTTTTAATCGTAATTGTCTATTCTTCTCGTGAGCCACCCGCAGCACGACTCCTTCGGATTGCCCGCGAGTGATGGAAAGCCGGCCAAGGCCATCCGATAGCTTCTCACAGCGCCGCGGACCCAAATAAGTCAGGCCAACATTTCCTCCAGTTCTCGCAACGCAACGGCCTCGCAGCGCTTCTCGAAACTGCATGCTGGCCGCCTCCGGCTCGTTGCTGGTATGAGCAGTATCAAGGCGCGGCTGCACAATGCGCGGTCCAAACTTCTGCGACGCAGCAGCGCGACATCGACCCGTGCCAGTGCACGCTCGATAACGTCGTCGGCAGGCAGCGAGCGGCAGCCACCACCGCCCAGCTCCCTGCGCAAAAGCGTCTCTCTTCAGAAGCTGCCTGAGGCGTCTAGCCCCGACGCTGCCGACGAGAGAACAGCTGATCCACGAATGGTAAGGTCGGAAGTGCTGGGAACGGCTTCCGAAAGTCAGGCCGACGACGTTCACGGGAGCACTGGCAGCTTGAACACCTCGAGAGATCGACATTCGACATACACGGGCACTTCAGCCGCCAGCACCCACGCCCGCCAACCCTCAGCAGACGCTGACGACGTGCCCATCGTCTGTCCAGAGGTGACGCTTGAAGCACCCACGCCCATCAACCCCGTAGTGCAGCAGCCTGCCGAGCTCAACCGCGCGGAGCCATCATCGCTTTCTTCCGCACCGAGCGACCACAGCGACCTTCTCCTCGCCGCCAGCAGCAACGACACGTCCCATACGCCATCGCCCGCCCTCGTCCGCCGCCAGTCTGTCGTCAACAAGACCGATGCGCAGATAATCAAGAAGCTGCTCGTCCCCGACATCCCCCAGGCTGCCATAGCTACTGGGCCGCCCACCGTCGCCGATTATTTTGGCGGAGCACCCGCCAACTTCAGCGCAGGCATGCTGCACCGCAAGATCTGGGTCAAGCGGCCCAGTGCCTCGGCCACGCTGGTGCAGATTCGCGAAGACGACCTGGTTGACGATGTCCGCGACATGATTCTCAAAAAGTACGCCAACTCGCTCGGCAGGAGCTTCGACTCGCCCGACGTGACGCTGCGCATCGTGCCGCGCGATGCTCAGCGGGCAGGAGAGCGCACCCTGGGCCCCGAGGAAGACATGTGCCGCACCCTCGATGCCTACTTCCCCGGCGGCCAGACCGTCCACGAGGCCCTTATCATCGACGTGCCGCAACGGCGGACCCCCAAGCCCTCACCACGCGTGCCCTTCTACTACGCCCACCACGAGGACGGGACCCATGCCCAAACCGAGTACTTTCCGCCCATGCCCGTCATCGCCCCTTCTCCAAATGCCTCGGGCCAGGAGCGCGAGGCCCGCATCCCCCTACCCCATGCGCCTCACTCGATAGCTGTCCTCAACACTGGGCACCTGCCTACACTCCCTTCGCCCGGCGGCACCAGACGAGGGCCGCATACTCACCGACCAAAGGTCTTTAGAACACACACGGCCTCCCCGACCACCCTCGGCGGCGGCATTCCCTCTTCAGCGACATCCGTTCGCCCTCAACAAGGCCGTCCACGCCACGACTCCTCTGCATCCGAAGCCAAAAACTCTGCTGCCTCGAACAACCCGATACCCACCCCACCCGCTTCTGCCGAGCCTCCATCACACTCACAAACTCTCCATGAATCGACTCCACCCACCCCGCGTATATCCTCACCTCAACCGAACCCAAAGAAGAAGCGGAGAAAGCCACCGGTGGAGCCACCAAGTCTGCCAGCTGGCCTTCTGGATGGTTCAGTCCCGCCTATCAATGTCCTGATTGTAGAAGACAACATCATCAACTTGCGAGTTTTGGGTGCTTTCATGCAGCGTTTGAAGGTTCGGTGGCAGCGTGCCATGAACGGAAAAGAGGCAGTAACCAAATGGAAGGCAGGTGGTTTCCATTTGGTGCTTATGGACATTCAGCTGCCCGTCATGAACGGTCTGGAGGCAACAAAGGAGATCAGGCGGCTGGAGCGTGTCAACAGCATCGGTGTCTTCAGCAGTGGCAGCAGCGAGGCCCCTAACAATAGGCTTGGATCAGAGGGCAAAGAGCAAAACGAGCTGGTCGAGGATGATCGTCTTGGTGACAAGGGCATGTTCAAAAGCCCCGTCATTATTGTCGCACTCACAGCCAGTTCGCTGCAGAGCGACAGACATGAGGCTCTGGCGGCTGGTTGTAACGATTTCTTGACCAAGGTAAGAATCCATGTTGTATATGGAAGCACTCCCACTAACTCACGTCACAGCCTGTCAACTTCGTCTGGCTCGAGCGCAAGGTCAAAGAATGGGGTTGCATGCAAGCCTTGATTGACTTTGACGGATGGCGCAAGTGGAAAGACTTTGCCGACAAGTCTGAGAACAACGACACCACATCGAAGCTCTCCGGCGGCTATTCGAGCATTGCTCCGAACAAGAAGTCGAGCAGTAGCCTGAGCCCGACTACCGCCGCTAATCCAGAAGCAAATGGCGTGAAGAGAGATGGAGATGTAGAGAGAAAGAACAAACGCAAAAGTCTAAGCGTCATACCACAGCAACCCATACTACAAGAGGAGGCCGAGACACCGCCAGCTGAGGTTGACAGTGGAGACAACTGAGCTTCTCAATCTACGAATCCTCTCACGCTACCAATCACCAAAATTCACTCGGTTGTAAATTGTCACAACACCACTTCCAAGGGCCTTTACGCTTTTCAAAGGCCCCATTTTTCATTTGTCCAATCACTCATCGTCTTTTTGTCTTCAGCGTTTGGTCACCTTGTTTCTGCCCGTCTGCCGGTCATCTGGGCATCTTCTGTATGCAATCTGCTTCTAGGTCTAGTGCGGGGAGATTGGATTCTCACCTTACACATACATGATTTGAACGCTTGTTTGAGGAGAGCGTTTGTTTGACATCGCATTGGGAGGATGCTTAGAGACCCCTGTTGCAATACAGAGAACCTGTTGGTTTTAATGTTAATTCTGCGGAACCGTCTCCGGGCTTCCATGAACGATCTTTCCAGTGTATCATCTGTGCATAATTTTGGAGTTTCACCTACGTCACTCTGTTAAGCGCATAATGAATGGCTCCTGACAAGTCGTACTCAGGAGAAGCTTTGCGCCAGGTCTTCTTTGTTGCCAGGGAAACGGCTCGCTTAGACTTTCCGTCGTTGACCCCTCCAAACCCTGGCACTTCCAAACTGGAGCCCCAACTTATCGTCAACCAAACTACACCACTCGCTCAGGCTCTCGAATATGCCTGCAAAAATTGTATACGGAAAGAAGAGGAACGGAGAGCGGGCGGCATTTACAAAATTCCTGTCTCCCGAGAAAGAGGCTGCCCACAGAGAAGTCGAGGACAAAAATGTGACTAGCGGCACAGCACGTGATCGGCGGCGGTCAACACAAATAGAAAGAGACGATATCTCGGTGTTGGAGCAGGGATTGGGGAAACTACGGATAGAGCAGACACAGCCTACGGAAGATGAGGGTACCTCACGGAAACGATCACAATCACGGAAAGCGAAACCTGAGCGCATTGAAGTTACTACGAAAGAGAATGTTGTCCCGTTTGAGGATGTGTTGGAACAAGACATGCAAGCTCTATCAATCAAAGCCCCGAAGGAGGACGAGTCCAAGCTACTCAAGGAGCCACGTAAACCCCGAAAGGTACTAAGCGACCGCAACATCAACGCCATGAACAATGCCCACGAACTAGACCGATCAACCCTGAAACCGAAGAAAGAGAAGAAACGTGTGGTGCCTATTGCGGTGGCCCAAGACGTTGTTGCCACACCTATAATAACTCCAGTACAGATAGATCCAGTTCGTTCAAAACAAGCGTCGATACAACGAGCAACATGCTTACCTACGCCTGAGCCGACACCGGAGCCTGAAGATGTCTACACCTCTTATGCCTCCCCGCTGCTGGCGCTCAGCGATAGAAAGAAGGTGATAGGGTTTCAGGAGTGGTCAGACGAGCTGGCACCGCACTTTGAAGTCACCAAGATTGCAGAAGCTTCCTTCTCGGAGGTATACAGGCTGTCTGCGATATCGCCCGCAAATGGAGTCAAAGAGGAGTCAGTGCTCAAAGTCGTAGCGCTGAAGACGCCACCAGCTGTTCCCCTACCAAGCCAATTGCATGTTCGTGCAGTTCGCGATAGAGAGGCTCAACTGGAGAAAGAGATGGAACAACGTGAACAGGACGATGCCTACAAATCACAGGTTGATGATGTTGCTTCGGAGGTTAAGCTCCTCCAGAATCTCACTCACATACCTGGTTTTACCGTCTTCCGCGACCTTACGATTGTGCAAGGTAGACCTTCGGCTTCCTTCAACGACGCATGGAAGGAATGGAATAAGGCGCGGCCACGTGGCAAGAAGAGCGAATTTCCTGACCCCAGCAAGAAGGCTAGCTATGATGAGTTCCAGCTCTGGGCAGTAGTAGAGATGCAAGACGCTGGTACGGATGTCGAGAAGCTCATGGAGACGGGAGGCATGTCTTCGATATGGGAAGCCTGGGATGTCTTCTGGGGCGTGGCGATTAGTGTTGGAAAAGCAGAAGAGGCATGTCGATTCGAGCATCGTGACTTGCACCTCGGTAACATTTGCGTTCGATCTTCACGCACAGGTGGGGACGTAACGAAGCCCTCTATCAAAGATCCTCTGCGCCGCAAACTCCGTTTCGCTGGTCTGGATACAACGGTCATTGACTACACCTTGTCACGCGCAGATATCCTTGCTTCCTCGTCCCAGTCTCGAAGGATATCAGCTATGTCGCACGTCTCAAGCTCCACAGCCGCGTCTGCAAATGAGGAAACGGCCAATGTCGCTTATCTGGATCTCAATAAGGATCTCGCGCTCTTTCACGGCGACGCAAGTGAGGAATACCAGTACGAAATATACCGTTACATGCGCGGTGTGGCGGTCTTCGATAACCCACTACATGTTATATACGATGAATCGTTCGATGCACCCGAAGAGGAACAAGAAGAGGAGGAACCAGAGCAAGTGCCCGTCACGCCTCGACACACACCTAGGAAGAACAACCACATTCGCTTCGACTCGGAAGACGAGGAGCCATCAGCGCTCCGAAGGTCGCCTAGGAAGCACAAGGACGTGGCTGCACCTGACATTGAGCAAAGTCCAAAAGCAGAGGAGGAGCAGCCTGAAGAAGACGACGCCGACGTTTGGCGCGATTTCCATCCCAAAACAAATCTCGTCTGGTTGCACTTCCTCCTCCACAAACTAATGAATCACCTTGCTGCTATCTCTTCAGCACCACACCACGTCTCCTCCCGTCCCATTATTTCCAAACGCGATGAGGTAGATACGAAGAAAGTTGAGAAGAAGGCTATGAGGCTGTACAAGGTCTTGCAGAGGGTCAGTGAGCTACTATGTCCTGTCGCGCTGGGTAGAGAAGAGGGGTTGGGTAGTGCGAAGGAGTTGGTAGTGCTTGCGTTGGAAGAGCGGTGGATTAGGGTTGAGGATGTGGAGGGTTGAGCAGGATGTACACATTCATGGCATTGCTGGGCGTTTCGGGCGGGCTCTCTGCATTATATGGCGTTTGAAATCGTGGCATGGTTTGATGAGATCACGAATATGAGCATTACTTTATACGCTCTACTGTTTGAGCAACATCAGTCGTATTCTTGCGATGCATCATCGTGCTCTTGAGATTCGTTCGTGGTATCTACTCTTCGATGCTGCGCTTCAATTCGGACGATTAGTAGCATACCCACAGGGATAATGACGCGATTGATATCCGCGGGGTTGGTACTAATGAAGAGCCGCGGTCAACCGTTGAAGGAAGCAACGACTAGGGAAGCCAAGTGAACTAGCGCAGTCTACACGTGCTGAAAGCGATTAAGCCTGCTTAGATCTACTTATTTGGGAGACTACACTGTAAGCATCCGCCCGACATGCGCGTGCGCTTACGAAGATTTCGCGACGAGGACGAGACAGCCTATCGCGTCCCCCTCCAAAACACTAGAAGGCGGATGGCTGAACAGCCGGAACAAACAGCTGACGGCCGGGAACACGGCAACCCGTAAACTACAGCCGAACGACGCCACACCACAAAGTCACTAGCATATCGTCATCCAACAACTCTTTCGTCCCAAGATGAACTCAAGATAGCACAGATGCCTCGCATTCCGACACCCCAAATGGAAGCGAAACCCACCTTGCCGTCTCAACACGTGCGCTGACAAACAAGGGAGATCCAACGGTATCGAAGCGACCCATACACCCGGTCAGATATTATCTCAAAGCCGCGGCCCACCAAAATCGTTGACGCTGACGCCTTGGCCATGTCAAATGAATCTAAGCGAGGCCAATGGCGCGCGGTCAAGCACGGCAAAGCATACCTCGCTTAGAGCTTCAAAGAGGCAAAAGAGATTAGAGGCGCAGTTTGGACATGAACACGGTGTATACGGCAGGTGGATATACACTGCACGATAAAGGGCTAGGTGTCAGTGAAGCCACCATGCCGCCGACCACAAAGGCGGTCGAACGGAAAGCGCATCTGACCCCACCCCACCCCCC